GAGATCGTTGATCTAGAGACTTTTCTAAAAAAGTTGAACACTTCCCTAGATCTGGTATACGGGGCAAGATGGAGAAACATCGTAAGACATCGGCAAACGGCTTGGACAAAGCCAATTGAGAGGAGCGATGATGAAGGAGGGATCGGCACAATAAGCTATTGTAAAAAAAAAGTTCAGAATACCTATAGGTAGTTGACGTGGTAAAAGAACCCATGCAACTGAATGAATGATAAAATTAGAAAACCTTTTAAATTTATTAGCGTGTTAAAAGCAAGCGAGCATTAGAAAATATATCAACAATGCGAGCGAAAAGCATTCACAGCTGTGATAACGACAATCTATTGACTTTTGAAGAGAGAATGTGTGCAGTTGATATAACTCATTGTGGTGTTGCTGTGAATACCTTCGGGAAGCTGTAACCGATAAACTGCAAGTTCCGATGATTTCTTAACAGTTTATTATTGCAATCCTCGATAAAACATTTAGCAAATTGAAGCAGGCTGCAATGCAACTGAATTTGCCGACATAGGTTCAGCGATTTAGGTATACGAGTACAAGTATACTGAGCCGGCATTCAGCTTACAGCAGTGTCACAGCTCATGTCACCATCGTCATGTGACCACGCCATCTCGTCAGGTGATGCTAGGCAATTATTGTGGCAATTCATTGTGGACCAAAAACATCAGGTGTGCGTCCTGCAAACGGATTTACGAGACACCATTTGGTCCACCTGAGGACATACCTATCCTCAACCGAACAGACGAAAAACACTAATGAGTTCAGCAAGGAAACTGACACCGTGTGCTCAATGAAGATAAGCGAGTGCATTCGAGCACAACGGTTCACAGCAGATGGTGGCAACTGTCGACGTTTGTCTGACAGCTCTGCAGTGTGGCGTGGCATCACAATGCAGCGGTCTTCCAGAGGAGAACTTGGTCTAACTGTTTGAGATCCCAGGCATGTCTACCTGAATCTACGATGCAACTCTTGGTAGCTGGCGCACAATCGGATGGCTACTTTGTTTATCTCCGAGATTCTGAGTTCCGGAGCGGTGCTACGAAAAGAGGGAGATGAAGTGCAAGTCGCACCTGTTCTGACATAGCGAGGATCATTCACTCAAGAGTCGCATGCGATGTGCATAACAAGGACCAGACAGCCCAATGACAATCGCATGCTTCGCATGTGGTCGTCCCAATCACATGGCGCGGTCCAGATGGCCTTGATCCAGAAGACACTGTGATTGTTTGAGCCTCGAAAGTCGAATGAGGCCCTCAGTGACGATCCGACGGCGGTAGCTGCGTGTGTTGAACGAGGAGTGGCCGGCCGCTTGAGGTCATAAGTAGGTAAATGAATAAATTGCACTAGACCTACGGTAAACCTGCCGAAAAGTTAAGTTATTCATCGCCACTTAGCGCTCGCCTACATCTAGGTATGTATATAATTAGAGTTATGTAGCTTTTATCCGCAAAAATGCACCACCTTTCATGTCTTGCTGCTTGTCCTCTCACTTTGAATATCAAAAAACTTCCCAAAAAGGGCTTCCTGCTCTATGCACTGCCTAAAAATGCTTATTAGCGTCATTTAATATCTGCACAAACCTTCAAGAACGTTCAAAAAGTTGAACACTGTTCAACTTTTTGGCGACCTCACCAACCAACCAACATGGGGAGCAAACCTTCAAAACCTTACAAATGCCTCCACCCGAAAACACGTGTCAAATACCCGGTTCCCACCACCACCGGCAGAGATCGTAAAAATGCATGCTGTGATTTTGCCGTTCTTGTCGATTTTCTCCCGTTATTTTACTTTACGATGTTGAACGGTCGTAGTGGGAACGCGGCTTAATAAGCATTTTTAGGCAGTGCATAGAGCAGGAAGCCCTTTTTGGGAAGTTTCTTGATATTCAAAGTGAGAAGACAAGCAGCAAGGCATGAAAGGTGGTGCATTTTTGCGGATAAAGGCTATATAACTCTAATTATATGCATATGTAGATGTAGGCGAGCGCTAAGTGGCGATGAATAACAACTTTTCGGCAGGTTTACCGTAGGTCAGTGCAATTTATTCATTTACCTACCATCAGCGCCTGGAAAATAAGAATCTTAAAATAATGTCATGCCACTGCAAATGCGGCGCAAATAACAAACGTTTATTTACAATATCTAACAGTGATACATAGCTGTAGCAGCACTTGCTCTTGTGAAACTAGAGGCAGAGTTTCCGACAATCGTGGCCACCGGCGTCGTCGCTCACTTATGACCTCAAACGGGCGGCCACTCCTCGTTCAACACACGCAGCTTCCGCCGTCGGATCGTCACTGAGGGCCTCATTTGAGGCTCAAACAATCACAGTGTCTTCTGGATCAAGGCCATCTGGACCGCGCCATGTGATTGGGATGACCACATGCGAAGCATGTGATTGTCATTGGGCTGTCTGGTCCTTGTTATGCACATCGCACGCGACTCTTGAGCGAATGATGCTCGCTATGTCAGAACAGGTGCGACTTGCACTTCATCTCCCTCTTTTCGTAGCACCGCTCCGGAACTCAGAATCTCGGAGATAGATAAAGTAGCCACCCGGTTGCGCGCCAGCTACCAAGAGTTGCATCGTAGCTTCAAAAGACAGGCTTGGGATCTCAAACGCTTAGGCCAAGCTCTCCTCTGGAAGACCGCTGCATTGTAATGCCACGCCACACTGCAGAGTCAAACAAACGTCGACAGTTGCCACCATCTGCTGTGAACCGTTGTGCTCGAATACACTCGTTTATCTTCATTGAGCACACGGCGTCAGTTTCCTTGCTGAACTCATAAGTGTTTCTCGTCTGTTCAGTTGATATTAGTATAATTGCCTTTATACAATTCTAGCATCGCCTGACGAGATGGCGTAGTCACATGATGATGGTGACATGAGCTGTGAGCACTGCTGTAAGTTGGAATGCCGGCTCCATATACATACTTGTACTCGTATACCTAAATCGCTGAACCTGTGGCGGCGAATTCAGTTGCATTGCAGCCTGCTTCAACTTGCTAGGTGTTTTATCGAGGATTGCCACAATAAACTGTTAAGAAATCATCGGAGCTTGCAATTTATCGGTTACAGCTTCCCGAAGGTATTCACAGCAAAACCACAATGAGTTATATCAACTGCACACATTTTCTCTTCAAAAGTCAATGGATTGTCGATCACAGCCGTGAATGCTTTTCGTTGACATTGTTGATATATTTTCTCATGCTCGCGTACTTTCAACACGCTGATAACTTTTAAGTTTTTCTAATTTTATCATTCATTCAGTTGCATGGGATCTTTTACCACGTCAACTACCTATATTCTGATTTTTTTTTTTTACAATAGCTTATTGTGCCGATCCCTCCTTCATCATCGCTCCTCTCAACCGGCTTTGTCCAAGCCGTTTGCCGATGTCTCACGATGTTTCCCCATCTTGCCCCGTATACCAGATCTAGGGAAGTGTTCAACTTTTTTAGAAAAGTCTCTAGATCAACGATCTCGTCCGTTTTCTCCCGTTCTTGCAATTTACGATGTTGAACGGCCGTAGTGGGAACGCGGCCTTACGCGCTTACTTTCGGCGGATGCCAATGTGCAGTGGACGGCGACCTTTAGGCGAAAAATTCCGGCAGGCGGCTATTTTTCTGTTGGTAAAACTGACCTCAGTACTATGAAAAGGTGACCTCAAATTCGTCTAATCTTAGCGTCCGAACGGCTAGGCCGAACTGGCTGAAAAAGCCAGAACTAGATGATTGCACTATTGTCTATCACTTGAACATAAAATTTGCACAGAAATAAACTTTCAAAACCACCTAAGGAAAAAAAGCACCACCGAAAAGATACCCGCGAACTTAATACATGGGGCGGCTCGCGTGTAAGTTCGTTCGCTAACTTAGCGAACAAACTATTTACCCGCAGATGGAAGTCTCCGGGCAAAGTTACCCGCCGACTTAAACGCGAGATAAACGCCAACTTACCCGCAAACCACTTACACGCGACTTACCCGCGTGTGGAAGTCTCCAGCCTTAGTGTGGATTTAGTTCCTGGAAATACATATTTTGAAATTGATCGTTGTCTGTATAATAAGCATCATTATAATAAATCATGAGTTAATATGTGGAGTATTCGTATTCGTTTCGGGCTACACTGAGGTTAACAATTGTTTACCTCAGTGTAGCCCGAAACGAATACGAATTACTATCATTTACCTGAGGAAGATTAGAAATGACACTTCGTCAATACCTGATGTGGAGTATGTTTTAATCTTTAAAATATCATAATGTAAAATATTGCATACTTATATCATAAAAACATGGAATTTATTTTAAATCATTTGAACTGTCTCAGAAGCTCGTCAAAGTACGCCACAATTTCTGGCGTGAAATGGACGCCGCTGAAACCGCAAACAGCTGATGATTGTCGGTGTTTTGAGATGTGCACAGCTGCTCACGGTTTAAAATCATTCTGCAGCATCCTCAAAACCGGCCGCTACCAATGCCGTAAAGAGCGTGCCGTGTTTTCGATTTCACAGAGTTTTATAAGATTGCGTCCTATATATCCAGCCTTAGAATGCTGCCATATCCATTTCACGGCGTTTATAAGATTGGGCCCTGGGCCACGTTTACTTGCACTACGTCAAAACAGGCTGCACTGTGGAATGCACTTTGCCGTACTGACGATATCGCCAGCACTATTACTGAAATGCGTGCACTGCCTCCTAAATTAGGTGCAAAAAAGTAAAGTGCGAATCTAACTTAGGTGTTAGCAGTGGAACACACGGGAGGGGCCCCTCCCGAAGGTCCCATGCCGACCTCTAAAAGCTCTTCGATGCTTTGAAAATAAGGGATGCAACAACCCTACAAAAAATACCGCAAGTGGCCCCAGCGGTAGGTGAGATAGGGGCCTTTCAAAATCACTACCTAAGCAGAACAACTTGAACACTCGACTTTTCACGTGGCATGTGCCACGACGGTCGCTCGCTCGCTCATAACAAAAGTGGATTCACTCAACGGTCCAATTACAAAAGCAGATCGTTACTCATGCTTGAGACAAAACTACCCCGCTTACGATGATTTTCGATTCATTTTCGAGGCCGCCTCATCACAGCCCTCCCATCGACACACCACAATGGAGCCCCAGCGGAGCACACTCTATAGATAATAGAGCACACCAGAGCACAATGAAGAACCATGTATAAAAGTGCCCCCACAACAAACTCTAAAGCACACCCTGGGGAGCAATATATAAAACTGCCCGCCCCCCCCCCCCCCGAGTAGCGTCAACCTCCATCCGCGACATGCAAAAGTCAACGTAAAAAGAAAACACGGTCGTACCTTCATAAATGCTCCGCCACGCCACGCTGGCTGCGCCGCTGCGCCCTCAGCCCGTCCCTGTATTTTTGGTTTCAACTACGCACGGGTCGTACCCACATCGCTATATAGACAGTTTGTTACACGGCTGTCCGCACGCAGACACAGGTCTCCACCAACCACCACTACACTGGTCACCTCCATGTCAAAAGCACACATACATAGTAGGGGAAACCAAGTCGGCGAGGTGTGGGGTGACTAGCCTAGAGCTCAGAGTGTGGCCTGGCCGGCGGCGCGCCGGCCGGCCGGCGGCTCTGGCGGCCGCTCGGGCGTGGTGGCAGCGCTGCTGGGCCGGCCGCTGTGCGCGCTGTAGCCGGCCGCCTCCTGCAGGCTGCGCAGCATGCTCAGCAGTGGGTCGGTGTCGGCGAGCGGCCGCCGCTCGACGTCGGCCGGCTCCGCGCTGGCCGCCGCCGCCGCCGCCGCCGCCGCCGCCGTCCCGTAGCCCACGTCCTCCGGCCGCACTCGGGTCAGAGAGTCGGCGCCGGCATGCGCCGCGGCGCGCGGCCACGGGTACGTGTCCAGTACGAACTGGGTGGGGTCGTGCCAGCTGGCGCGACGGCCGTAGATCAGTAGACCGTCACGCACCGTCTCCACCAGGTAGGGTACGATCGAGTAGTTCCACACGCCTTGGAACCACACTTGAGAGGCGGTGAGGTCCGTGGGACAGTTGAGCAGCAGCCGCGGACCTGGCGACACAGCCAGCACCAGATGACACGCGTGCACAAACACCTCTTCAGAGGCAGTGGCGCACCCAAGGGGGGGGGGGATCTCGGAGCCCGGCCCCTCCCGCTCGGGCATTTTTAGGAGGCCCCTGAGCACCGCGGTACTTTAACTTCACTTTCTTGCATAACATAACCTAAACTTATCTTGTTGCAGCTACCCTACAAAAATTACCGCAAGACAATCACCCAAGCAGTGGCGCACCCACTGTGTAACGCGCCACTGTGTAACGCGCCCAAGCAGTAAAGGTGTCTACCCCATGTAAAGGAGATAAGGAGAAACTTATCTTAAACCTAAGATAAGTTTAGGTTAAGATCTAACGCGTTATCAGTGTACTGGATTTGGTGTTTCCTCTGCCACCAGACACCTCATCCGTTCTACGACGGCTCAGTTGCGAATTGCTCGGCGTTCTAACGCTCCGTCAGACATTGCTGTCTGTAAGCATATGCGTTGGCAAGTAAAACGTGCTATTATTTTAGAACGACGAATGAAATTTGAGCACAATATAAAAAAGAATGCGTCCAGCAGAGATAGGTCAAATTTCAAGTGGCTATTTCTGCATAAAACGTATAGCGATTCGATGCAGCTCGCCACGGCGAGTCTAATGGTGGTCTTTGTTTTGCGCTACTTGGTCTAGAAATGCCAAAAAATTGAGTTTGAAAATTTGACGTCATCAATTTTGAACAGTTTTTCGCTATAACTTGGCCAAAAAAGAGGTATCGATCTAAGATTTGGTATGTGAATAGAAATGGTAGGGACTATCACATATATTCCGTTTTTTTATAATCGAAAAGCTATTTGGATTTTTTTGCTATTATATTAAAAAAGTTTTCCGAGGGCGGCATCACGACTTCCGAGGGCGGCATTACGAATTCCGAGGGCGGCACTACTACTTCAAAGGGCAGCAATGTGATTGTAAAGGGCGGTTCTTCGTCTTAAGGGGGCGGCACTCTAAATTCCGGGAGAGAAGTAACATACTCTGAGGGTTTAATATCAATTCAGAGAGTTGCTACCAGAGATTATTCATTTCCGTAAAATGCACTCGAACGCCTATCGAAAAAATGCCGCCCTCCGCCACCTTCGGCGGCGGAGGGCGGCATTTTTGCATATTTTTCGACAGGCTATAAGGGGCATCGGCCCCCAGCGCCCCCCCACCCCCACTGGATCCGCGCCTGCCTCATGTGATCTTTAGGAAAAATCCGAGATGTACAAGCTGAGACCTCTAGAGGATACCCGTACTGTAAGTTTCATCCGAAACAGGGGCTCTGTAAAAGCTCCTCTGGGACTGAGGGCGTTGCGAAGTTGCGGCATCTCAGGAACGCGCAGAGGTTCACTTATGACGTCATAGGTCAGCAACCTGACCTGACCTGAAAATCTAGTTTGGTGTCACAAGATCCGGCTTGAATCAAAGGTCAGGTGATGCAGCCAAAATTATCAAAGCAGTTACGTGCTTTGTCCCGGGCACCACATATACCCCTGAGCTGAATGTTAAAATTTTGTTTTATTTTTAACTCAACTAGATTGAACAAGATTTTCATTGGACAAGATTGTTGACGGCCCTCCTGTGAAACGAGACTCGATAAATTCTTAATCCGCGCCTTGGTGGGGGGGGGGCTATTTTTTACCCCCCCCCCCCTCAAGACTTTTCGATATATCTCCAGAACAGCTCCGCCGATCGTCACCAAACTTTCAGTACCCTCCCGGACATCAATTTTACACATTGTGACCAAAAAATTTTCCAAAGGCTATGATAGGTTGGCCGGAAATGACGTCAGAGTGACGTCATGTTCTACTGTTTTCGACCCAAAAAAGGGTTTCACGGGAAGAGCTGTCAGACCTATAGCTTTGCAAATACAGAAAAGCGATGAGACATAAAAGCTGTAGAAGTATTATGAAACATTAGCTGTAGTATAAAAATTATAGACCTTGTCCGTGCGTATCCCATGCCGTTTACCACTTGTCGCTATTTTGCTTCGTTCTTGAAATCTCGGGGGGGGCGGTCATCCGCCCCCCCCCGTCGGTTCTAAGTTGGCGCAGACCCCCGTCGGTGCGCGGGTTTAAGTCTTGTTTAAAATTTTGGCTTCGTGTAATAACAACTATTTTTTTTTACGCCGCCACCCATTAATAGGTGACCAGGAGTGCCCCCACCCTCGAACCCAGCGACACACAGTACCCTTACGTTAACACCAGAGAAAAAAAGCAATGTCGCGGCACTCCCAGCTAAGAAATGGAAAAGAAATAAAAAGAAGACAAGAAGGGAGCGAGGATGTAGGCATGGTATAATCATAAGATAGAAAGTAGTCAATGAGCTCATAAGTCATTGACTGACCCCCCACTACAATCCCCAATAAAAAGGGGTTAAAGTGATCATGGGAGACCCAGCCATGCAGAGAATTTAACATTTATACAATTTTCTGAGTAATATGCAAAATAATATATGCATACATTATCTGGTCATTTTAGCAGTTTGCTATTGCTGGAGCCAAGTGAGACCCCGCAGCTAAGCAAAGCTTGTTGCCGCTCGGTCTCACCGGTTCCAGCGATGGTTATTGGGTGATATTTGATACCACAATAATACACGGTAGGACGTCAATACCAAACACTTACATGTAACACAACGATGTAAACAAACAGCATACATCAACGTACATTCGTAATGCAATAAGAGATGTAAATAACATTATATATATATATATATACTATACTATTTACTACTATCGAAAATAGTATATATATATATATATATATATATATATATATATATATATATATATATATATATATATATATATATATATATATATATATATATATATATATATATATATATATATATATATATATATATATATATATATATATATATATATATATATATATACTATTTTCTATAGAACAATTTCCGGAAAATAAAGGCATGACAACGTTTCCAGCGCCTTAATTCTGAGCTCACTGCATCTAGTTCGGCAAACATCCATCGAGCACGTCAGTGCCACTGGCCCGACCGGCAAACTATTCACTCCATCTTATTCACTCTCATTCAACTCATTCACTTATCACTTTCGTCCTTTTTGGGTCGGTCGTAAGCCAGACGACGCTTGACACCAGAATTTGAGACCTGAATTTGAGCCGAAGGACGGAACGGAGGAACTGAGCCATGGGGTCAGGGACGGCGCCACGGATTTCGCCTTGCGGGGGCAGGTTTTCAGAAAAAGGGCCCAAACAAGATGGGGGCCCAAACTTTCCGAAATATCGTCAATACCGTCAATACCATGCAAGCCTTTAATTGTACCTTGACCTATCATTCCCACAACCGTTACCTTCTAAAAGACACACTCTTAACCCTCGCCGGTATTGGTGTTTTTCCAGCCACGAACGTATAGGGGGCGGGAGTCCGTTGGTCCCCCCCCCCCTTGTCGTTTCGCCCCTGATCGAGCTAGACCTTCGCAGAAATAAAAACGAGCGTGCTGCCCGTGACGAGAGGAAGCCGATGATACCCAATTTTAAGGTCCTGGTCATCGGCTAACCTTCCAGGTCAGGTCAATGACCCAAAAGTCGGGAAAATCGGGACATGTTAGAACGTCGTAAAGGTGGCTGATATGGTTTTTTCGGGGTGATGATCACGAATATCATGTTAGTTATGATCATAGATGATGTCTTCATGCATTTAGGCCAGGTCGGGTCAGGTCAGGTCAGGTCAGGTCAACTAGTAAGGGTTTTGCCGGGTATTCGAAGTAGGTGGCAACCGCCTCTGACAGCTTCATAACATGTTACGAAGGCACCAAAATTACTTCGTAAATGTTCAAATGGATGCTAAATTGGAATTCATTTCCAAAAACTAGCCTAGAGACATGCAAAACTCGAAAAAAGGATAACCGAGGTCATCAAAGGTCAATGACCTGACCTGACGGCTGACCTTCCAGTGATCTTGACACCCACCCTAATGCATGGGAGCAACATCATATCCCATGTTTGAGCGCTTGAAACCACGAAAAGACTGCAAACGCGCGGCTGATGCGAGCCGACATAGGGTAAAGGCTGAGCTACACTATGCGTGACCGTCCAGGAAATTACGTGCGTTATCTGCATATCCGTGATTGCGAGACTCCCTTGATATCGGTTTCTGCGTTTTTCCAGAATTTCCGTGAATAATTGTATGCTGACGTAATAATATTAACTAATAAATGGTTTCGAAACAAACGCTTAAGTCTGCTATTTTCTATATTTTTTCATTTAAAACTAGTTTATTTGGTTAATAAAACATCAAAAACACATGAAAATTAAAGAAAATATTATTAATTACGTCACTTGGATTCATACGGTGCGCCACCAAGTGCGCCAACAAAGATCTGTCTCATATCACGCAATCACGCAGATTCTGCAAAAAAGTTCGTAGATCTGAACTTTATATCGGCACGGAACATCCTGACCGTCCTGACTATCCGGCATTTCCTGTACTGAACGTCCGGGATTTCCTTGACTGAATCTGCGTGACCCCAGTGTAGCCGACCCTGTGTATTTCCTATCAGCTGAACTTGACCTGCGTACCGATTTTCTGCAAAACCCGCAAACTCGCAGATCACGGACGTAGGATCCCGCATAGTGTAGCTAGACCTTAAGGGCGGGCAAGAGGACGCGGGCGATAAGAGTACGCACCAGCTGTTTCGGTTGCCTAGCAACGCGGGTTTGTCGAGTTCTTGAAGTGACATGAAGCCGCCAGTGCGTGGTTGTCACCAACGGAACGTGGGCGTTGTAAGGCTACGCTGTTGAGTTTAAGGCGATGAATATTATTTTGGAGCGTTATGATATTATTATGGTATGGTACAATAATTTTGATAATTGGCAGTTGAGATAAGGTACATTTTCGTGATTGTTGTGGGAAACTTGAGAGGTTTTCTGGGGAAATATTGTGCAGCGCAATATTCTTTTTGTGAAGTTTTGCACAATGTGTCGGGGTTGTTTAGGG